CCCATCATTGGTGTCATTAGGAAGAATAGATCCCCGCTGCTGGTGTCAGTGGAAGGAATGGTAACTTATTGTTGGTGTCCATGGGAGGAATATCGCCTTCTATCAGTGGGAAGAACAGTGCCTCAAGGGCCACATACAGGCAAGCAAAGGGCAGCATTCAGCCCATGGGCCACAGTTTGCTCTAGACAAAAATGAGCAGTTGCCCCTTGCATCGTGGACACAGCCACACCGCACGGGAAAAAACTTTTTTTTTGTCCAGAATTGGGGTCTAAATTAGACATTTTAAATTGAGGAAAAAAAATACATGAAATGTTACCTTGTCACAAACAAGCTCTTCTTTTTTTTTTTTGTGGGACTAATAGGCTTTGTATCAGGTTAGCCATGACTTCTCTCAGTCAATGTTTTCAGACTAAACATATCTGGATCCACGCATCCAAGTCGTAGCAGCGAGCCTGATTCCTGCCAGTAAGAGCCGGAGCCCCTCCACCCCCCCCCCAGACTCCTCTCTTTTCTCTCTCCTTCACATGCAATTTCCACAGGCCCATTGGTAAACCCAGGAGGCTGTAAATTAAAACCACTTTATTTGATAGTCATCCCGTCAGAGGGCCCCCCTCGCCTTGAAACTTTGTAACTCAAGAGGCTTTAAGCATGAGGTCAGCATCCCTCAAGGTATAATTCTTGGCAAAGTGGGATTTCGAAGCGGAGGAATTCTGGGAAAGGAAGGATGATTTTTGGAACTCCGGTTACAGGGTAGCGTTCAAACGCTCTGATCCAAAAGACAAACATCCCCCTTTTCTCTGCGGTTGCGGAGGATTGATAGGAGAGATCTCAGAACATGATGTCATGTACGGTCTCTGGATGTGTCAGTCTTGCGGCCCCCGTGACCCCTGCTGTAGCATGGACAGAATGATGGTGGCTTAAGGGCTGTGCGACTGAATAAACAATGGAGTTTTATGATTATTATTTGTTTAAAGTAGACGTAAATCCAATCGCTAAAAATCTCGTATAAGCTTTAACATGTTAATGTCATTCCAAGTCGTTTCCAAGCTTCAGCTTTCATAATACCTGGTGATCCTGCCATAAAGAGCCTTGTTCAGCCACTTCCTGTTATTGGGTGACAACAGATGCAAACGGACAAACAAAAAAGGGCGCACCGACCTAATGCATTACCGATTAAAAATATATTTATTGAAGGAACAAAGTAAGTATTGTACTCACAATAGACATTAAAACACAGGCATGTCAAACTGAACAAGATGTATGATCCAAACAGCATCAGAGTCCATACGATGGACTAACGCGTTTCGAGGACACAACCGATGGACTAACACGTTTCGAGGACACAACCTCTTCCTCAGAGCCAACCTGGCTCTCAGGAAGAGGTTGTGTCCTCAAAACGCGTTAGTGGTCATCCAGGGTTCCATCGTATGGCCCACTGTTGTCAACATCAGGAAGTCCATCCTGAGAATTGCAGTGCAACCAATGCTGGAGGGCATGCAGATAGGAAGTGGTTGCATGAGATCAGGTGCAACAAAGAATGAAAAAAGAGGTGAAAACAAGTGTTTCTTAAAAAGAGAAATTCGGGATTAGGCAGTGGTTGCATGAGATCAGCAACACTGAGGTGCAACAAAGACTGAAAAAGAAAACACAGGCATGTCAAACTGAACAAGATGTATGATCCAAACAGCATCTGAGTCCATACGATGGACTTACGCGTTTTGAGGACACAACCTCTTCCTTAGAGCCAACCTGGCTCTGAGGAAGAGGTTGTGTCCTCAAAACGCATTAGCCAGTTGGTCATCCAGGGTTCGATCGTAAGGACTCGATGCTGTTTGGATCATACATCGTGTTCAGTTTGACATGCCTGTGTTTTTATGTCTATTGTATGATACATACTTTGTTCCATCCATACGATGGAACCCTGGATGACTGACTGGCTAGCGCGTTTTGGGGACACAACCTCTTCCTCAGAGCCAGGTTGGCTCTAAGGAAGAGGTTGTGTCCTCGAAACGTGTTAGTCCATCGTATGGACTCAGATGCTGTTTGGATCATACATCGTGTTCAGTTTGACATGCCTTTGTTTTTATGTCTATTGTATGATACATACTTTGTTCCATCCATACGATGGAACCTTGGATGACCAACTGCTTAATGCGTTTCGAGGACACAGCCTCTTCCTTAGAGCCAGGTTGGCTCTAAGGAAGAGGTTGTGTCCTCGAAACGTGTTAGTCCATTGGTTTTGTCTTTGAAACATGTTTGTCCATCGTATGGACTCAGATGCTGTTTGGATCATACGTCTTGTTCAGTTTGACATGCCTGTGTTTTCTTTTTCTGTCTTTGTTGCACCTCAGTGTTGCTGATCTCATGCAACCACTTCCTAATCCCGAATTTCTCTTTTTAAGATACACTTGTTTTCACCTCTTTTTCAGTCTTTGTTGCATCTGATCTCATGCAACCACTTCCTATCTGCATGCACTCCAGCATTGGTTGCACTGCAGTTCTCAGGATGGGCTTCCTGATGTTGACAACAGTGGGCCATACGATGGAACTCTGGATGACCAACTGGCTAACGCGTTTTGAGGACACAACCTCTTCCTCAGAGCCAGGTTGGCTCTGAGGAAGAGGTTGTGTCCTCGAAACGTGTTAGTCCATCGGTTGTGTCCTCGAAACGCGTTAGTCCATCGTATGGACTCAGATGCTGTTTGGATCATACATCTTGTTCAGTTTGACATGCCTGTGTTTTCTTTTTCACTCTTTGTTGCACCTCAGCATTGCTGATCTCATGCAACCACTTCTATCTGCATGCCCCCCAGCATTGGTTGCACTGCAGTTCTCAGGATGGACTTCCTGATGTTGACAACAGTGGGCCATGCCTGCCATAACTTGGCCACTTCATTCTCCATTGAAAGCCTGATTGACAAGGTGACAACACATTAGCATAATTGAAACACACAGACATGGTGTTGTCACCCAATACAACAAACACTTTTCTCCTGCGCTAGGAATGGACTCAGTAGACCCAATAGGAATGTTCTGGACATTTCTGGAATATGCACTGCTTGCTGCCCTCTACAGACCGGGGTGGTCCAAATACACTGGATGCAAACGGAGAAACAAAAAAGGGCGCACTGACCTAGTGCATTACCGTTTAAAAATATATTTATTGAAGGAACAAAGTAAGTATCATACTCACAAAAGACATAAAAACACAGGCATGTCAAACTGAACAAGATGTATGATCCAAACAGCATCAGAGTCCATACGATGGAACCCTGGATGACCAACTGGTTAATGCGTTTCGAGGACACAACCTCTTCCTCAGAGCCAGGTTGGCTCTAAGGAAGAGGTTGTGTCCTTGAAACGTGTTAGTCCATCGTATGGACTCAGATGCTGTTTGGATCATACATCTTGTTCAGTTTGACATGCCTGTGTTTTCTTTTTCAGTCTTTGTTGCACCTCAGTGTTGCTGATCTCATGCAACCACTTCTCTAATCCCGAACTTCTCTTTTTAAGAAACACTTGTTTTAACCTCTTTTTTATTCTTTGTTGCACCTGATCTCATGCAACCACTTCCTATCTGCATGCCCTCCAGCATTGGTTTCACTGCAATTCTCAGGATGGACTTCCTGATGTTGACAACAGTAGGCCATGCCTGCCATAACTTGGCCACTTCATTCTCCACTGAAAGCCTGATTAACAAGGTGACAACACATTAGCATAATTGAAACACACAGACAGGGTGTTGTCACCCAACACAACAAACACTTTTCTCCTGCTTTAGGAATGGACTCAGTAGACCCAATAGGAATGTTCTGGAATGTTCTGGAATATGCACGGCTTGCTGCCCTCTACAGACTGGGGTGGTCCAAATACACTGGGTGCAAACGGAGAAACAAAAAAGGGCGCACCGACCTAGTGCATTACCGATTAAAAATATATTTATTGAAGGAACAAAGTATGTATCATACTCACAATAGACATAAAAACAAAGGCATGTCAAACTGAACAAGATGTATGATCCAAACAGCATCAGAGTCCATACGATGGAACCCTGGATGACCAACTGGCTAATGCGTTTTGAGGACACAGCCTCTTCCTCAGAGCCAGGTTGGCTCTAAGGAAGAGATTGTGTCCTCGAAACGCGTTAGTCCATCGGTTGAGTCCTCGAAACGCGTTAGCCCATCGTATGGACTCTGATGCTGTTTGGATCATACATCTTGTTCAGTTTGACATGCCTGTGTTATTATGTCTATTGTATGATACATACTTTGTTCCTTCAATAAATATATTTTTAATCGGTAATGCACTAGGTCGGTGCGCCCTTTTTCTGTTTCTCTATTTGCATCCAGTTTATTTGGACCACCCCGATCTGTAGAGGGCAGCAAGCAGTGCATATTCCAGAACATTCCTATTGGGTCTACTGAGTCCATTCCTAGCGCAGGAGAAAAGTGTTTGTTGTATTGGGTGACAACACCATGTCTGTGTGTTTCAATTGTGCTAATGTTGTCACCTTGTCAATCAGGATTTCAGTGGAGAATGAAGTGGCCAAGTTATGGCAGGCATGGCCCACTGTTGTCAACATCAGGAAGTCCATCCTGAGAACTGCAGTGAAGCCAATACTGGAGGGCATGCAGATAGGAAGTGGTTGCATGAGATCAGGTGCAACAAAGAATGAAAAAGAGGTGAAAACAAGTGTATCTTAAAAAGAGAAGTTCGGGATTAAAAAAAAATAAACATTCATACTCCGATAGGTGGATGAAGCATGTATGTGAACCAGGGGTTAAGCAGTGTCAGGTCAACAGCTACATTGTTAGGGCTCATGTACACTGCAGCAGATAAACTCACGTTTAGGAGCTGTTCAGCGTATTTTTCAGCAGCCCCTGAACTCTCCCTAATGTTTTCCTCTGTGTCCATGTACACATCGTCATTTACAGGCATTTGAGTTTACAGTCGTCTTTTTTTAAACGCAGAAAACTTGCGTTCAGCAGTAGATTTTATCAGCGTTTCAAACGCAAAAATCTTGTAAACGCAACACATCACGTTTTTAAGCATTTGCGTCTGAAATTTTTTTTTAACTCTTCCAGTTCCCAGTGCTGTCCAGAGCCTTTTTTCATCATAAAAAAGCGTTTTCAAGGTACTCAAATGGACAAAACACTGAACACAGGATGTTCCTACCAAGCTTGGCACACATTGTAATGACCAATTCACACCTCAGACCTCTCCCACCCTTGGAAACAAAAGATATGTTAATGACCAATTCACACCTCAGACCTCTCCCACCCTTGGAAACAAAAGATATGTTAATGACCATTCACACCTCAGACCCCTCCCACTCTTGGAAACAAAAGATATGTTAATGACCATTCACACCTCAGACCCCTCCCACTCTTGGAAACAAAAGATATGTTAATGACAATTCACACCTCAGACCTCTCCCACCCTTGGAAACAAAAGACATGTTAATGACCATTCACACCTCAAATTCCTCATGAAGACCCCCTGCCAGGTGGCCTTAATGACTCCCTCCACCAGACACCTTTCCCACCCTTGGAAACAAAAGAAATGTTAATGAGCAACTCACACCTAAGCTAATCTCAATACATACTGCTGTCTCTGCTTCTACTCTCTGTATTTCTCTGAAACAGTCTGAAATAGTTAATAATTTACCACTTTTCAGTGCATTCTGGGCATTTGGGAGGTTCTCCTGTGCTTATCTTTAAAAAAACGCTTCTAAACGCAAACACACATAAACGTTTTATGCAAACGCGTCTAAACAGGCGTTTTTTAGGCTTCGTTTTCCAGCAGTCAGTTTCCATCGTTCAGAAGTGTCCCGTGTACATGAGGCCTTACAGCCGTCTTGCAGTATGTAAGGACATTTTTGGTTCCAAGCTGTGGTCAAATCAGTGTGAAAATACAATGAGAAGTTACTAATAAAGCAGTTATTATTATCCAGTGTTTTACAGAAATGGTTGTCTGGATGATATCTTTTTTTTTTTTTTTTTTTTTTTTTTTTTTCAGGCTCGCTGGTTCTGGGAAGGTTACTTTAGGACAATGAAGACCATCGCCTTGACCACACTTCAAATCATTAATGACCGGATCTATCCGTATGCTTCAAGATCTTATGAAGATTGGAATGACCCCCCTTCTGTGGTAGGTTCCATCTCTGTACTTTCCATATTTATTTTTATTTCAGGTACTTATATAGCACCATCAATTTACACAGCACAGCACTTTGTACATTCATATCATTTTTCACATTCACATTAAGTCCCTAACCCTCAAGGGGTGTACAATCTAAGGTCCCTAACCCTCAAGGGGCGTACAATCTAAGGTCCCTAACCCTCAAGGGGGTACAATCTAAGGTCCCTAACTCACAATCTAAGGTCCCTAACTCACATCCATACATACACATACTAGGGCCAATTTAGACAGGAGCCAATTCACCTACCAGCATGTCTTTGGTGTGTGGGAGGAAACCGGAGTACCCAGAGGAAACCCACGCAGGCACAGGGAGAACATGCAAACTCCAGGCAGGTGGTGCCATGGTTGGATATATGGATGATAAAGTGGATGCAGGGAGATTTTTCCATTAAAGTCAATCGGATTCCAGCTGCTGTTTTCCCGATATGCAGGTTGGATAATGAAATGATTGGTTATCCTACAACACAGATCCTTTAATTTTTTCTTGTGTGTGTGTGTTATGGACCTCCTTAAGGATAAGTTCACCTTTTATAAAAGTAAATAAATGCACATTTTTTTTGCAGGTAAAATAAATGTGCATTTGTTATTATTTTTCGAAGGAGCCTGCAGAGCATTGCACCCACAATCAGTAGATCACAAGGTGCAATCTCAGGCTCCTGCAGACTCTCAGCATAGCTGTGTGCCTTTCACTTCCACTGGCAGTACTATTGTGGGGGTTCGAATCCCAACCACGACACCACCTGCCTGGAGTTTGCATGTTCTCCCCTGTGCCTGCCTGGGTTTCCTCCCTCACTCCAAAGACATGCTGGTAGGTTAATTGGTTCCTGTCTAAATTGTCCCTAGTATGTGTATGTATGAATGTAAGTTAGGGACCTTAGATTGTACCCCCCTTGAGGGTTAGGGACTGATGTGAATGTACAATATATATGTAAAGCGCTGCGTAAATTGACGGCACTATATAAGTACCTGAAATAAATAAATAACTCGTATAGGCAAGCAGTTACCTGAGAACAGGAAACTCAGTGGACTATGTGAGTACTCTAAGTGCCCTCACAGTTCATTGAGAGCTACAAGCTGTCTGCCACAATGGCTGATGGTAATTGTAGGCATTCATTCACAGGAAACTGAATAAATGACGCAACCATGCGGTCGGAGTCCATTGCAGTTGCATTATTTTCAAATTGTGACAGCGGGTACGGTCACAGGGTAGAGGGATTGGGGGAGGGGGGATGCACATGCTGTAACATGTTACATGTGCCGAAGGTGAACCTATCCTTTAAAGAGGAACTTCACCCCCCATCCCCCCCACTTCTTACCTTTTTCACATAATCCACAAAAATCGTACTCCCATGCCCAAGCAATCCTGAGGTTTTCTGTAGCGATCAACTGCGCCGCTTCTACACACCCGGGTCCTGCACCTCTATCTTCTTCTGTAACGTCATCGGGGGCTGACTGTCTCCTCGGGGTTCTTGCAGCTGGACTTCTAATAATGGACATGAGCTGCAGTGAATCATCATGGGGCCAGCTGCAAGTACCAGGAAGAAAAAGCCACCCCCTAATCCAATGGCATGAGCTCTAGGTAAACTTTGGCCTTCTGGAATGCATGATATGGGTATCCCAGAAGGATGCAGGTAAAGGGAGCATCATTCTTGCCTAGGCTAGAATCCAGGAATTGGGGAAGAGGAATTCCACAAACACATTTTTTTTTTGTAATCTGCGATTTTGAGAGTAGAGGGTGTACGGGATGAGATGGCAGATAGTGGCCAGGAAGGGTGAAGTTCCGGTGCTTCAGTACACCCAGGAAATCTATGTAATTGCATACCCAGATAGTTACTATTGGTGGCACAAAAGGGTCCAGTGTCTGGGCAGCAACATCACAGGAATTATAGCGACATCACACTGCTAGGAAGCCATGTCCAGCCTCCCCAGTTTTAGCTTTATTTTTTTTTAATGTGATGTGTCATATCTTATATATGTAGCCCAGAACAATGGAAATAGCACCGCTTGAATGCCCCTCCAAATCTTTGTTCGTCGGATCAGCATGTGAAAAGACTGGTGCAAGACAGACAGATTCGGCTTGTCGAGCTCCAAATAGACTTCAACAAAATGGTGTCTGTCTCCACACAGACATCGGCTCCCTGTTGCATAAATATAATGAGATGGGTAAAAGATGGCTTCAGCCTCTGTGCTTCACTTGTAGAGAACTCCGACGCGTTTCGTCCTTTTTCTGGGCTAAATCATAGAGGCCTCCACGATCTACAAAGAGCCCATCAGTTATTCTGCAGCTCTCATGTGCAAACAAGTCACGATCTGAACTCCGGCGTGCTTCACCCTGTTCGGGGGCTTAATCGTAGAGGCCTCTGTGATTATGCCGCAAAAAGGGCGAAACGCGTTGGCAGGAGTTCTTTATCGGTGAAGCACAGGAGCTGAAGCCATCTGTTACCCATCTCATTACATTTATGCAACAGGGAGCCGATGTCTGTGTGTCCTATCTCATGGTACTTTGTCCCCCGCCATGCAGGGGTTAGCCGGAAGAGACACGCAGGGCAAGTATACACACTTTAATAAAATAGAAGCAGAAAAGCAAGCGCTAAAACCGTAAGCTGCTCATGCTCCAAAAAGGTAACCAAAATCAACCTCCGAAGTAAACCGATAAAAAAAAAGGTGCAGAACTAGAATAAAATATCAGAATTAAAACATTATAATGCACTATATGCAATAAATATATATATATGAATTGATGTATAAAATTAATTGGTTAATGGTATACCCATATCAGGTGACAAAGTGCAAATAAAGTGTAAATATAGTATAACCACAATAAAGTGCTACTGAAGTGACAATTGTGAGCACATAATAACACCACTCCAAACTATGACATAGAAATGTCCACAAAATATTAATTGTGAAGATCCATCCAAAATCGTCTCTGGTAAGTGCTCCGTATACTTCTAATGGTCATCCAGGTGATGTGCCGAGAGTATATGTTAAGATTGCGCACTCACCAGATGTGTAATCATAATACGCATTTGTGTATACACACTTTACCGTAACTGGGCAATTCAATAGTGGACAAACAGAAAAACCATTGTAAAGTGCGTTCCTAGGCAGTGGGCCTGCCTACGAACGCCCACTCCTCCAGATTGATACCCACCCATCAAAGCATTTTGGTAATTGCATAACTCTACCCTACTCTACTATGGTTGAACTGGATGGACTTTTGTCTTTTTTCAGCCAGACTATGTAACTATGTACCCAAAAGCTAGTCTACTGCTGCCTGGAGCTCTTTAGTACATTACCGTGGCAGGGTGCTGTAATGTTTTCAGAAAGCTATGGACAGCATCCTTCCGGCCCCTCCCCCCACCAGCCATGATCTGCCTGCATTGCATAAAGAAACACAGAAACCCAGTGATTATTATTTATTTATTACATGTACTTATATAGCGCCGTCAATTTACGCTTTACACAAATATTGTACATTCACATCAGTCCCTATCCCTCAAGGGGCGTACAATCTAAGGTCCCCAACCCTCAAGGGGCGTACAATCTAAGGTCCCTAACCCTCAAGGGGGTGTACAATCTAAGGTCCCCAACCCTCAAAGAGCGTACAATCTAAGGTCCCCAACCCTCAAGGGGTGTACAATCTAAGGTCCCTAACCCTCAAGGAGTGTACAATCTAAGGTCCCCAACCCTCAAGGGGTGTACAATCTAAGGTCCCTAACCCTCAAGGGGTGTACAATCTAAGGTCCCTAACCCTCAAGGAGTGTACAATCTAAGGTCCCCAACCCTCAAGGGGCGTACAATCTAAGGTCCCTAACCCTCAAGGGGTGTACAATCTAAGGTCCCCAACCCTCAAAGAGCGTACAATCTAAGGTCCCCAACCCTCAAGGGGTGTACAATCTAAGGTCCCTAACCCTCAAGGAGTGTACAATCTAAGGTCCCCAACCCTCAAGGGGCGTACAATCTAAGGTCCCTCACCCTCAAGGGGTGTACAATCTAAGGTCCCTAACCCTCAAGGAGTGTACAATCTAAGGTCCCCAACCCTCAAGGGGTGTACAATCTAAGGTCCCTAACCCTCAAGGGGTGTACAATCTAAGGTCCCTAACCCTCAAGGGGTGTACAATCTAAGGTCCCTAACCCTCAAGGGGCGTACAATCTGAGGTCCCTAACCCTCAAGGGGTGTACAATCTAAGGTCCCTAACCCTCAAGGGGTGTACAATCTAAGGTCCCTAACCCTCAAGGGGCGTACAATCTAAGGTCCCTAACTCACATTCATACATACACATATAACACACCCGGTCAAATCGATCCCGTCTTTGAAATCGTGTGACTTACAGTGAAGTCGCACGATTTCCAAGTTGGGTGACATGCCGATTTGAGGTGCAGATTTGCAAGACATCTGACGCAGATGTCTATGCAAATCGCACCAAAAGCAGAGCATGCACTACTTTAGAAATGGTTCAGCTCCGAACAAGTCGGAATCGCACCAATATGACGGCTGTAATTGCTGTCAATAGGGTGCGACATGCCGTGCGATTTGAAAGTCGTATGGCATGTAAATCGCATGCTAAGTCCCGCCCAGTGGGACCGGGGACTTAGGGCCAATTTAGACAGGAGCCAATTAACCTGTCAACCAACCAGCATGTCTTTGGAGTGTGGGAGGAAACCAGAGTAGCTAACTCACATTCATACATACACATACTAGGGACAATTTAGACAGGAGCCAATTAACCTACCAACATGTCTTTGGAGTGTGGGAGGAAACCGGAGTACCCAGAGAAAACCCATGCAGGCACAGGGAGAACATGCAAACTCCAGGCAGGTGGTTCCGTGGCTGGAATTCGAACCAACGACCATAGTACTGCCAGGCGGAAGTGCTAACCATTTAGCCACTGTGCTGCCCCATAGTGATGACATCATTGACTCTAAAATAGGGGCGCGGAAAAGTG